AGAAACTAAAAAGGTCAAAGAAATGATAGGTAGCCTTTTCCCTTAACATTCCTATTGGGTTAATGCCAAATCCTAGATGTGACTCAAGAACATCCAGAGAAAGAACACTGACACAGCATAATGAAAATGAGCAGCCATAAAGACATATTTAGATGTCCTTATATTCTACAGTAGCAGTTAAGCCAAATTACTAAGCAATGTTAGTTACCTGCTCTGAGAGAAAAGGTGTTCCTTGTTCAGACAGAGAAGGAAGCAAAGGAGAAAAATCAGTCTAAGAAACTAGGGTTCAGAAATGGTGCTGAAAGGATGGAGGGGGATCGTGAGAAGAAAAGTACGGCCAGAATAATGGGTCACATCACCCAAACCCAAATACTGGATTTTCTGATCAAAATATAATGTAAAATATGGATTATACACACACACACACACACACACACACACACACACACACACTCACAGAGGGATTTTATTTTCATCTTTTGGCAATATTACATATGGAATCTGGTTCCTAAAACGATTGCTAAGCCCTTTGCTCAGCTATAAATCATTCTTTACAAACTACAATTATCTCTCAAGACATCATGACTAAGCAAAAACAAGTAAAAACACAATTATGGCTTCACACAATACTTGTTACAGAATTTTACTGTGCTTCTTGGGTTGGAAGTCTTCATCTTAAACTACCAAATATTTCCATATTTATTATGACCCTTAAGAACCCGATTTCATTCAAAAATTAAAACAAGGTCTATTTGGTAATTCAGACTTGTTAAAAAAGTTGTTCTCACTGAAATCTTGAAAAAATAACTTGTCAAAAGTATGTGTATTGTTCCTATTAATACAAGCTCTCCTCATTTCAATGACCACAATGAGAAATAATATCAGTGTATTTTTCTCTATCCTGTATTCCACTTTTGTAGCCTTCACCAAATGATACTTTACTTGTAACACCTATCACCCCCAGATAGTAATGTATACAATACATCTGGAGATTATCATTTTGGCACACAAAAGAAAATATAGTTATTTCCAATTTAGAATCCCAAAGCAGACTGTCCAATAATCTGGATGCAGAATAGAAGACTCAATGAGGAAACAGAGCATCTTAATTAATTCCAAAAGTATTCCAGAATCCTTAATCTACTTAGCATTAATGCTTCACTTTAATTAATAATCCAGTAAAATTTATTTTACTGACAAGTTCTAAACATTTTAAATCAGTAAAAGTTATTTAACTTAAATTATTATTTGATGAGTACCTAAACATGGTGATACCCTAGATTTAGGTTTGAATCACTAAAAACAATTAAAACAATAGGCAGTGAATCAAGGCAGTATCTACAATAAAGACTAAAATAACTTTAATGATTAATCTTTAATATCCATACTTTTAAAGGAGTCTCCTAACAATAGAAGGAGAAATGGCATGACTCTCCTATTTCAGGTTATAACAAAGGAACTAAGAATAAATTTTAATATAAGTTGGAATTCCAAATGAATAATCCACAATTAAAAACTGATTTTTCCTCTTGCAGCATTTATATTCTATCTCAGGATATGTCGCAAGAGCATATTTATATTTATCAATATTTATTTTTCTACCTTAATATTCAGATCACAAAACAGAAGTTAAAATTAAATGCTCTCTAATTTGCTTGGGATCCACAACTATGTCATACCCAGATCTTAAGCGGGCTCCGTCACTGATACCACCACACTATCTTTTGAACACAAGTCAGTTGACTCTTTGGTTGACAATAAGTACAGTCCTTGATTAGGAGAAGCTCTGCTATTGGATTCCTAATGGTTTCTTATCCACATATTATCAGACAGTTCTGTTTAGCTTTATAGTATTATAGCAATGTCACATAGTATCAGACTATTTCCTGAAAGCAAAATTGGAATTTCTGATCCTAGGCAGCATCACTAGGAACACAGCATCATACAGCTGTCTATATTTTCTTGGATTAGCCCCTGCATTTTTCTTGACAAAGTTTTTGGAAGTGTCTTACCATTGCCTTCTTCCTAAGGCTAAGAGAAAGTGACTGGCCCACAGTCACCCAGCTGGCTTCATGTCTAAGGCAAAATGAGAACTCAAGTCTCTCAGTTTCTAGCCTGATGCTCTAATTACTACACCAAACTGGCCCTCTGTCATTAATATATACCCTCTTAAGGATTCGTGTGGTGGTACTAATGGTGAATGGACAGAAGACAGACAAATATTGTAACTGTTGTTAAAATTTTGTACAAATTATAGGTAAAACCTTAAAAATAATTGACCTTGAGCAGAAGGACTCTGATTAAATTCTACCACGCAGTAAAGAAATGCTATTTTTCCCCAATGAATACATGTTTTGGACAATACTAATTTGGCAGGGAACCAAAAATTCTCCAGCCCACTTACCTACTATCACCAGCATTGGCCACATAAAACTTTCCCAGAAGATAAACCACAGTTAGGGCACAGCAGCCTCCAGTTGCCTGCCTGGTTACCCGTTCTTGCTCAATTTGATTGTCCTGAAAAGGCAGAAAAACAAAAGTACAAGTGAAAAAAAATGTCCTATCATATCAGAAAAGAAGGCACAACCGTACTGTATGTAATCACAGATCTTCCTCACCTTCCTATATTAACAAACTAGAATGTCCTAAAGAAATAGATATATAAACAACAGCTGCAGAAACAAGGTAGTCATTTAGACCAGTGTTTTTCAACCACTGTGCCGCGGCACACTAGTGTGCCGTGACATAGTGTAAGGTGTGCCGTGGGAAAATTACTTTATATATAGT